GGGGCAATCAAGAGGAAGTCCAGCGAAGACGGGAAAAATGTAGAGGAGCCTTCAGATTCCAAAAGGACGAAAATGGGTGAGTATAAAGCCGGGTTTAGAGTGACTGGGTCTTGATGTTGATATGTATAATGCTTACTCATGTAGGCTATGTTTACATGCTCACAAAGATCACATATATATTGTATATTGTGTTGTATTTTGTTATATAGAATTTAGAATATATAAATGAGTTATATAAGTTTGTGTAAAAGCTCTATCACACTAGGACTTTTCCTATCCATTTTTGCATTTCTGTAAGAACTTTCTACATACAGATAGTTAGGCCCCATTGTGATGTTTGAGAACCACCACTCCCATGTAAACAAAAAGTGACACCCTTCTAAACAAAACTATTTGATCCCAGGAGTCATAGGAGCATATATATATATATATATATATATATTATATATTATATATATATATATATATATATATATATATATATATATATATATATACAGGTAGTCCCCGAGTTATGAACAGGTTCCGTTCCAGTAGGCTGTTCGTAAGTACGTTTGTTTGTATGTCCATAGTAGGGCGTACGGGTATGTTTTGATTACTGTAAAACCAGCTCTAGTTTCGGACGTACCAGTATGAACAATATAGTAGTTTTTGGTGGTTTTTAATGTGCTTTGAACAACCTTCAAATACAATACATAAAATAGAATTTATAATAAGTATAGGGACTGAACTTTTCACATGTTCCATGATCTTATCCTTGTTCTTGAGTATTGTACCGATGGTAGAATGATTCATCTGGTACGAATGGCAACATCCATCTTCTCACCGCTCCACTCTTTTTATGATGTCCACTTTTGTTTTCATCGTGATGGCCTAGCGTTTCTTAGCACTACCAGCCACATCACCACTGCTTTTGTGCTTAACACCTGACATATTAGAATGCTTAATAAGGGCAAAATCTTTGCAAAACAATCACAAAATCTCAAAGTTTTCTGGAGAGCGCACAACACACGTTTGAATGAGACTGTATGGGTACAGTGAGAGAGCTATTGTTTACGACACACCCTACTCTCACTCCCTCCTGACAACTTTGTTCATATGTACCGAAGTTTGTAACATGGAAGTTCGCAAGTAGGGGACCACCTGTATGTATGTATATATATATATATATATATATATATATTATATATATATATATATATTAATATATATATTACATTGAAATTTAAATTATTATGGAAAAGCAACTGCTGTACTATAAAAAGAAACATCCTTTAATGATATAAGGTTATGTTCCCCCAAATTCTTTGATTATGTGTATCAGTAATAAAAATCTAGTATTATAGATCTCTACACAAAATCAAGACTGTAATTAGTCAAATAAAAATGGTCACTACCATCTACATCTTAGGGGTATTCTATGAGCATGCAATCCACGTGGAAATGCAAAACTTGACGGAAAGTGCGATATTACGATAGGGCCATATGGAACAGAAAGGATAGAAAGTAATCTATCCCTTCGTGTGTCTTTTACAGCATCTCCCAAAGAGGATGCTGCTCCCAGTGGGACCCCACCACCTGTCAAACCATCAGGTATTCAGTGTGTTGCCGTTCTGCCAGGCTTAGGAGTCTACACAGATTCGAGCGACTCGGACAACAACATCGACTCAGACAGCGACGAAGATGAGACAGCAAACGAACTACCTCAACAGCCAAGGGACATCACTGGCCGCATTGTGAAACCAGCCTCTCAGTGCAATGGACAGTCTAGTTGTTGATAGTTAACACAGGATGAGAGAGAGACTGCAGTGTATATCAAGTGAACTTCAACTTGCACTTGTTGTAGAATGTATTGTGATGAATCACTGTTTATTATGTGTGAATCTTCATTAATGAATGTAGCTGTTTTATTTTTTTCTTGTTTGGGTTGACTGAGGATCTTTGAATTATGTTCTTCATGATTATTTTATCTGTTTGTGAAAATGAGATATGATCATTAAAATCAGACCACAGTGGCCGACTTTCTCATTCTTCAAGAACTAACCTTTCTATTGCATCTCAAACCACAAGTATTGTATGTCTGTGAATGCAGTGACGTCTTAGAAAATGAGGATGCTAAGAATTACTCTAGGATCAATTTTTTTCCACTGAGAATAAAGGTGAGTAAGTGTGTATTTGTTATAGACAAGTGGATTTTAACCCATTGGATCCAGATGCTTTACTGCCATCATGTGGCCCAAAATATGGGCATTAGGCCACTCTGAAGGGTGTGCGGTTTGTAGGCTGAGCTCAGTGAACATTTATGTGCAGTGACAAGATTCCATGCCTCCTCCCTATGCAATGTTATTCTCTCTTTTTCTGAATAAGTATTTTTTGCTTTTTTGGCAATATCTATATTTGTCATTACATTTGCTTTATCCAGATGGTAATAGAATGTTTCCCTTGCACAGTCTCCATACCATCTCTCTAGAGAAATGATGGTAGTAGTAAGTAACAATTTGTTATTTCCATAATACAACCTGCACCGCCAGTCTTGGCGGGCAGGAAAAGGATCCTGAGTTATGGCTCACGGATAGTACATTTCATACTCATTTATCGATGGAAAGACGAGTCTAATCCCCCTCCAAGAGCTTTGTGCACTCGTGGCAAGTGTTTTCATTACCCTGGCCTTCATCTGAAATGCTCAGATCAACAAGCTTGCATCACCCAGGCCCACAGCCAAATTTTCCGATGATGGCATGTTCACATCACCTGCCCCTCAAGACAAATTTTTTTTAATGACATGATGGTCATGTCATCTGGATCATAGGCGTTAATCTATTTTGTGAAATTTTCCACTTCATCCAGTTCCCCCATTCCTGTGTAACTACAGTAGGCAGTCATATAAGTTTTTTCTTATAATTGCAGAAATGTCTATCGCCACATTTTTTTTTTTTCTGTTGATGAATATTTATATCCCCCCCCTGAAACTAATACTTAACCCCAGGGGATAAATTTATCCATGGTGGGTTTTGCCGAATCAGATTGTGAAATACAAGAATGACTTGTTTAGGGATATTTGTTTAGTTGTGCTAATTTTCATTTCCATTAGTAGTCATTCCAGGTATAATGGATTCCAATGAATTCTACTATTTGAACAATGGCTTTTGGAATGTATTGTTGAAAGTGATATCAGGGAGAAGGTAAGAAAAAGGTAAAACTTATCAGGAAAAAGCAAATATACCAAGACACAACTCATATATTCTTGTAAGTTGTGGTTAGTGAACTTGTAATAGAACAAAAAAAATGCTTAAAGAAATTTTATCATGCAATTGGTGATCTTAACCATGGTTGTATGAGTATATATGCTCATATACATTGCAAAATTTTTATGTCAGAAATTGATTGATGATTTTCAGGCATCTTAGTGAGGTAAACATTTTCACAACCAAGATTTGAGAATAATGTGATCTATTAATTGTACAACAGTATCGAACTGGAAGCATTTATTTTCTGGGCTAATATTTTCAATGGTATCTTCCTGTAATACTGTTTGTTCATATTCTAATGAATTACCTTTTCATAACTTCAACTTTCTCATTTTCCAGCAATATTTAATACTGGCCAGTATTATTTTTAAAGAAAAAAAAAGCAAATTACAGCCTTTGATTTACCATCTCATGTAGTTAACATAAAACTGCAACTGTCATGAAGACCACATAAAATCCATGCACCGTGAGGCAAAATTTTTCCAACCTTCACTATACTTTACCTTGCATCAGGAGAATGATATGATATATCAAGTGCAATCATGTAAATGATACTGATGTTGACTATCTAAGTTTAGTAGCCCAAAAATGACCAACATGTAACTGCTGTCAGAAACATTTTGTTATCCTGCACTACACTAAAACAAAGTAGTTGACTGTTTGGCGTTTACTACTAATTAACTCAATGCTGACTGGAAAATTGTTCTGTTCATAAAGGAGTCAATTAGTTGATCTTGTGACCTCACCTTTCCGTGAAATAACGAGAAAATGCTTTTTTAACTAATGTTATCAGTATGGATCAGTATTATTTTTGTTAAAAACATTATAATTATGATATTGTTATTGACATTACTGATAGCAGTATTAAATACTAGAAAATAATATAGAAAATCAAGGAAAAGGGTAAACAGGTGAGACAGGTAATTCTCGTAATTGGCTCATTGGTGACTTAATATTTGTGGAGCAATCTACATGTAAAAAGAATTACTAAATTAAACACACCGTGGGCATGGCATGTACACACATGCCATCCCTGGCAAAAAGTGGTTAAGTAGTAATTTTCAAACAGGCAAGAAATAATATGTTTAAACATGTTTGTATAAAATTAATCCCATAGTAACTAAGACACTAGCAGTGTTGTAGTGATAGTGCTAATATTCTTCAGATTAATATTGCGGTGATGTGATATGTGACATCAGCAGCCTGTTTCCTGTTGAACTAAAGAGGAATCCTAATTCTTTTAAAAGGGAATGTCTGCTTGACAAAATCAACAAGAAAACCTGAAAACTAACCAAAATTTGTATATTGCTCAAATGATATTTAAAATGACAGTTATCTTATTAACTGGAAACTGAATAATGAATATAGTGAAGTTATAACTATTAATGCTAAATCACAAAACATGTACATATTTTTATGAAATTATTAAGGGCAATTGTAAGTTCTAAAATAAGGAAAAGTTATTAGCTGTTGGGTAATTTCCAGCAGCATGCATAAATAAATGAGCTTCAATGTAATTAAATAAAGAAACAGCTGTACAAATTAAATATGAATGTGTTAGTCCCTTTCTGTCTGTGTCTCTCTCTTTCTTTCCTTCTATCTTTCTCTTTTTCTTTCTTTCTGCTTCTCTGTCTCTCAACATGTTTCTTTTTTTTTAGTTATCTGACATACAGACCAGCAAAAGGTGTAGTCCTAAAATGGGTATGTTCTTTCAATCCTTCAATTCAGTAATAGGAAATAATTAGGCACCTATTATTCAGAAAGAATTTATTGCTTTTTTATGAGCTTTTTGGATTTGGAAGCTAAAGGTTATCTATCTGTCCGTCTGTCTAAAATATTGCACAGATATTACTTCCATAGGTATTTACTCAGGTTTATGTGAAAAAATATTAACATTGGGAATATATTTACAATCTCACGAACATTTTTTCTCTCTTGGAATAGACTCATGCTACAATCAGTCATGAACATTATCTTAAAATTTAAGAGTGTGTAGCGGTCCTAGTTTCTTTTTTCATATACAGTCATAATGTAGGGCAAACAAAACTAATATTCATTCTTTATTAAATAAATAAACATTCAAATATCAGTTATTACAATGGCAGTGTCTTCTTACACCTGAGAGAATAATTAAGTGATGAAGTGTCCCCTTAAAAGACAACCAGGTTCAGACTGGCTCAGAATGATGATGTTTCTCTGAAATGCAGAAACTTGTACACAGAACCAGCAGCATAAACAATGTGCCTAGACATTAATTGTGTTGATTACTCTTAATTTCCAATGGTAAATAAACTAGAAATAGCACCTGCAAGCATTGTTCATTAAGTTCAATATGCCTGCATTGCATGACTATACTTCTGCAGGGTTAAACAGTAAATGCGTTTGAGACTACAACAAATGGGCCATTATCCCAAAATATGGTTCATGGATGTAGTAAATAAACATGAAAAATACATGTGCACTGTATTTACTTGAATATAAGGTGGATTGGGTGTAAGCTTCTTTTTCTTTTTATATTCCATATGAAGAGATTGTTCACGGTTTCACAGATGTGATATCACTTTGCAATGTTTAAGAAAATTATGATCTTATTCCATACTCTCATTATGGGTATAGAAGGAAATCTGTAAAAGCATTAATTGGTGTTTATTATCTCACAACCTCAAACCAATGCTATAAACACTGAACCCATTGTGATTATAAAGGTAACTTGCTGTCTCCAGAATATTCTTGTACATAGTCATTATTAATATTACATCTCACAAATTTAATAAATAGCAATTGGATATCATTCATGCAATTTTACAAATATATTACAAAATTACAAGAAATAAAACCAACTGTCTTTCATGTGAATGAAATAAATACATTTTCACACCTGTAAACTTATCAAATGTTGATAGATCAACTTCATTGGTCATAAAAATACACTTCCATAGGGCTATTTGTTCAATTTCTTACTATTATCATATGGAATACTAAATTATAGTGACTTTTTGGTAAAGGACAGAGAAATTGAAAACCTTTCTTTTCTTGTCATCTGCTTTTACACCAATTCACCCTCTTCATTGTTGCTTATATTTTCCTGTATTTTATAAACCTTATTTTCAAGTAAATGCAGTCAAGTATACAGTAAATTGAATAGGCTAATGACATAGGAACACAACTGTATGGCACTAATAGACTCATATCATATAAAATAGAGGCCCGCAAACTACAACACAGCTCAGACCTTAAGGGAGATACCGACTAGTTATGGAAATTACACATAAGTGGTGATTAATTTGTGCTGAACTTCATAATGTGAAATAAAGAAATGCAGTTTATGGATTTACATCACCTGTAAACATATCACGTGAGATCAGATAAAGTTCAGGCTGCTGTTTACTGAAATCCTTGAATAACTGTTAATGCACTCACTGGGAATGTGTGGACACTATAATATAGTGTGCCTTAACTGACAGTACAGTAATATTTTTATTTTGGTACAAGTCAAAATTCTTCAATATGATAAGTGGATTTAGGCTTACTATTGACAATGTAGCCATACAATAAAGCAAGTTATTGGTAACTAACAAGCCTGGAACATTTGCACATAAGACTAGGGTGATGCCAAACTCATTTAAATGCTAACTTGTCCACAGCATAAGTATGCATTGGAACTTAGTAAAAAAAGTAGAGAGGGCACCAGAGTAGTTGTAAGAAAGAAATTAAGTCATGAATTAAAGGTGAAAGATCATAAAAATATGAAAAATGTGAATTACATAAGCTTTACTGTGAATTGTTAACTTTGTCATGTTGCACGTAAATCTAACGTGTCACATCTTAATGGTAACCTTTTTCAGTATTTAATGAAATTAGCATCAGCTTGCAGTGGGTTCTGGATACTTTATCTTAAACCATTTGTATTTACAATATAAAAAAACATGCTCTTTTCTTTTCTCTAATGAAACTTCAAGTCAGTGATTTATAGAGATTCAAGCTCAATTCTCACTGTTTTTCATGTATTTCCTTCAGGTTTTCATGTCACAACTGTTCAGTGTCTGGTCACTACACAAGTCTCTATCTCAGTATTAGTAAAGTCTCAACACATGTATGCAGCATATCAGACATGACCCTGTGAGGAACTTTTGATTTTTTCCCCCTTCTAGATGCTATTTCCTCTTTACACTTCTGTTCCTTCATCTTCCAAATTATTTCTTACTGTTATTGCTAATGTTTTGACCTTGACTGTCTGTAAGTTGCTCTCACTGTTCAGGGTCATGTGAGGGGGCAGTGTCTTTGGTCTCTCTTGAATCTTTCCTTCTCCCTTCCTTCTGAACTGCTCTCTCTCATTCTTTAGGCTTCGCACAACAATCACTTTGTCCTTTTCCGACTTTCTGAAATGTCTCTTCACCAGGAGCAACCCAGCAATAATTATGCCCAGAAGGACAACTAAAACAACAATGACATACAACACATTGAGGAAAATGGAACCGTCATCCATTTTTGAACCCGTGTCCAACTGGAAACCTCGCATATTTGTTCCATTACGTGTATGGAGGGACCTGAGAAAAGCAGGTGTTGGCAATTCTTCACCTTCCTCTTTCACATAATCTTCTGATAGGTCTGTGAGAGTTCTTTTAACAAGTGTTCGCCTATGGTCGTTCTCTTTTGACTGGAATTGAGATAGAATTGTGTGCAATGGGGCATCTCTTCGGCTGCGACTACTGCTCGGGCCAATGGTATATAGGACCTATAGAAGGGAAAGGTAAATTTGAAAAAAAAGGAAACCAACACCCATATACATAATATTTTTCTCATAAAATTTTCAAAAACAACAGTAACTTCCTCACCATGGGAAGGAAGAGTAAAGTAATTAGTTATATTATAACATCAAATTCACATAATCTTACCTGGAGATACCACTGATAACCTGAATTAACCTCGTACAAAGCATCCGTCTTTAGCAAGAAACCATCAACACCTGAGAACTGATGCAAAGTCTCATATTCAGGAAGGTCCTCAGCAAAGTTGGCTTCAATCTTTGGAATGCTGAGGTTGCCATCTTCTACATAAGGATGCTCTCGGTCCTGGAACAGTCGAGGATGCTGTATTATCATATATTTTTTGGCAATTACAGTCTTTCTAAATGAAAGCTTCAACATGTAGCAATATACAGAGATCACTCCATGGAAGATCAGAGTTATTAACCTCCATTTTCATGTCAGAGTTACATTACAAAAATTTGTGACTAAAAATTTTTTTGTACTTTTCTGTGGTGGTATATTACAAATATATTTTCTTCCTCTCTCTGCTTTCATAATTAGAATAAAAATTTATGATATCCTTTTTTATACCAAAAGTAGGTATGGGAGGAGAAACTACTTGAATAATCAAGCTCAAAACAAAAACTGTAAACCTTTTTCCTCTCACATTCAGAGTAAACCTTTAATAAGAGGGAACATTTAGCCTATTTATCTTAGGACAAAGCACAGTCACTTACAAGGATGAGGAACCTATGGCGCAGCTTGCTCGAGGGTTGAATGCATCCGTACTGAGGTCCTTCCTGATACAGCTCACCAGTGGGGTCATAGGTAGGCACGTATCTAGGGTTTTAGTTTAACGAATATAAAGTTTTGTTTAAAAACTGTAACATAATCTAAACAGTATATTATTTATTAAGGGAATGTATATTATTAAATAACATAAGCTGTATATGATTAAATATCCTGCAAACATTCAAGGAAATAATCCAATATACACTAGTATTAATGGATCGATTTTGAAATGCAAGAGCTGTACTAAATAAGATGATTTTCACTGACAGTAATGAAAAATGCTACTTGAAAACTGTACAAGTAGTATTAACAATGAGACTAAAATCTAATAACTACTTACCTGACACTACAACAAGTGCAATACTAACAATTAGAGTCAAATCCATGAAGTCCCAAAATATATGTGAAAATAACCAACAGCAAAATAACAAAATTTGGCAAACTCACCCTTCCGCACCGGTGCATAGGAACACTCGCTGGATGTAGAGTTTGTAAGCAGAGTGCAGATCTTGGCTAGGGTGCCAGAGAACTCTTCCATATATAGTTTGTCCTGGACCGTAGCTTCCTTTGTAATCCACTTCCTGTTTTCATATATGAGAAAGATTTAGTTGTTATTGCATCACACATTTCTTGTGTTCTGAAAAATCTCCGTGCAAGAAAGGATATCTATTTTTAGAATGATTTCTACTTTCAAAAGCAAAAAGATTTGATTAGAGATCTTTTATTTTAAATTTTGTCAATATCTTAAATTTTGTCAATATCCAATTTCTCAATATCTCACATAATCTAGTCTTACAAAATTTAACATATATGGCAATAACTGCTATTACAAAGAAATGCATGGATTAATAGGTGAAAAAAACACATATGTCTAGACAAAGCAACAAACCACATCACCTGATTTTACAGATTTGTGGTAACCATTCAAGCACACTAAAAATAATAGTAATAAATAAGAAAAATGCAAAATTACACCTCTCACCTGCAAATTATCCACATCCTTGGGGTCCATGAGGAACATGGTTTCGCTATTGAACAACTGGAAGTCTGTATTGAGTGTGTAAATAAGAGGCACAGGGCGGTGAGTCTGCTGTATGGCAATTGGGAGGGGGAACGTCGTTGGGGGGTGTGGGGTGCAGGCGGGTGGTGACGCATCCGAGTAGCCCTGTGTGGGTGTCACTGTGCACGGTATGAGCTCCAGTTTGTATTTACCCGTGTAATCCTTCAAGTTGTATTCACTGGTGGCTCGCCATACCTAGGGTAAAAGGAAAGCACGATAAAGAAATGTGATTTGTTTATGATTTTTGGAGAGAAGATACAATAAAAACAAAAAAGTACCTATGTCCCTTTTTTCAATATCATTATTCTATTCATAATTCATCCATACTGCAAAAGACCAATAATCATCCCTCAAACACAGAAGCCTATGCAGTGACCGCTTTCCTTTACTACCGAGAAATAACCATCTCACCTGCTCTGGCCCATCCCATGTGGAAGCCGTCCACATTAACTCCAGCGTGAACTGTATCTCAAGGTCCTCAGGTGCCACTAGCCTTGAGGTGTGGTCTTCCAGATTAGGATGCTGGAGCACAAACTGTCCACGGAACTTCGCTACTGTCTTCAGGTCTATCACAAGACGCCCAGATTCATCTATGGATATCCTTGTCACCTGATAATTTTTTTTTTTTTTTTAAAGATTGGAATAAAAGAATGTTACCTCATTTCTAGTGATATCAGATATAACTTTTCTGAAGGAGAATAATATCTCTTTTGCATAACTCTTTTGGATTCAAAAGTAATAAAACTAAATATCTTGTAAAAACACACTTATTCCAACATTTCTATTTTTCTATTGAAACATGATTGCATCCTCATAATATTGGACATTGCGCTTAGGATCATAAATATCAAAGCTTACAGTCAGTTTCATTATTAATATGTCCTGACCCTTCTACTCCTAATATCAAGTAGTTTAACATTTATCATCTTACTCAGTTCTAACCTGTATCTTAGCTGTCAGTGTTGGTTGGGTGTGAAGACCTTGATGCCAGAGGAGAGTATTATAGTAGAAAGATACCGAGAGTTCAGTGCGATGGTCTAGAGAAGCCCATCCTGGTGGTGATGCTGCGTACACGTAAGATATATACAGAGGAACACGAACCGTTAAGAAGCTCTGTCCACCAGATCCAACCTAAACGAGTTAAAGGGAGAAAGAAACTTATTAAAGTTATTATGTAAAGTTATTAAAAATGCTTAGGATAAATACTCATTAATATTATTCAGAATAAAATACTCCCAAAGAGCTGATTTCTAAATCAAATAAACATTTAGGATTCAGTATTTTTTTTTAGGTTATGTGCCATGATTCTCTCAGAACAAGTAAAATGCTGTAGTTTGGTGTTAACAATAATCTTTCAGAAATATGAAACCAACCTGAAAATCGGAGACCACTTGACCACCACACTGGTCCACCAACTGTGACATTGAGAACCAAGCAGAGAAAGTCCACATGCAAGTCTTCAGATCCAGGTGTTGATACAACTCCAGTGACTTTTTCTGAGGGACAAATATGTCAAATTAGTACAAGAAACGTTTTTCTTTTTTCTTTTTTTCAAAGTTTGCGAAATTTGTAAATACAAATGTATTGCAAGTTCATATGTTGTTTATGTCATTCATGTTAATGATTCTAAATGATCTGCATACCTCTCTTAGCCTGGAGTCACTCTGATAAGGTCTGGGGTTGATGGGATGCTGATCTTGGGCCTCAGCCAAGAACCCAGCTGTGAGGTCCATGTTAGAACAGGTGTGATGGACACGGTACAGCTGCTCAGTCAGCAAGTAGCGGAGGTTATGGACGGGGAGGGTTGAGACGATGGGCACCATGCCATCCTGGTGAGGTATTTCAACATGGATCTTGACAGTATTTGGATGCTTTTCATCTGTGGAGTTTATGTACGAGAGTGTAGCTATGAAGGACTGGCTTTGGAAACCTCCAGGCTGGCCAGGAACCAGTGGTGTTTGGCAAATGCCATTATGGATTCCAATAGAGATTGGTTTACTCCGCAGGGGGATGCCAAACACTCCATCACTGCGCACTGGCTGAGCTACACAACGGACACGGAAATGCCTAGCAAAGAACATGGAATCCAAGACTTTGGTGTTTGGACTGGCAAAAAGAGTGTCATCTGTGAGAGAGTGGAATGGCATTAGAAGTCCATCACCATCTGCAGGAATAGCTACTTCCCATGAATACTGCATCTGGGAGGCATTCAGTCCAGCCTGAGCACACATTTCTGCTGTCTTTGCACTCTCTGGGTATTTGGGGTCACAGGGTGTTACACACACCAGTGGGTACCCAGGACTTGCAGGCTCTCCGAGGTGCTCCTCAATGTTATCATAGTGCAGAAGTGATGTCACTACTGGTGGTGCTGGCAGGACAGAACTACCCGAAGACTTGTGGTCGAGAATGGTCACTGCAGCTGTTGTGATAGTTCCCAGCTCTGCATTAACTGGTTCCTCTGGTCCTAACACCAGGCTGAAGGTCTCATGCCACTGACGTGAAGGATTGTGCACAATGGTCAGCTCCATGTCAATGCTGGAAATGGGGAAAAAATAACCACTAATGAAGCACTTCTGACAGACAAAAAAGAAAAGTAATAGATTTATATCAAAGCATTTTACAAATTGGAGTTTGTGTGTATGTGGAGGGGGGTGGGGTGCTTGCATTCAGTTATACAAAAAAAGGTTTAACTTACGAGGTATTGCCTGGAGGAAATTCAACCTCTGCATGAAGTGGATGATAGTCAGTGCCTGAAGCAGCTGAGCCATCTCTAGTAGACACCATTACTCTTGTAACCTGAGAAACATCTCCCAGCCGGATGATGGGGATATTGAACTTTGAAGTTAGTTCCCCAGCCAAGGGCTCGGCCACTGTGTAGTCATTTCTCTGGAAGGATACCCTAGGCCTGTCCTCCCAGTCTAGAATGGAGACACGTGTGATTTTGTTTTCTCCCACAGTTGGCTGTAGATGCGAGGGGGATTCAGGGTGAGATAACTTCACAATGAATTCTTCTTCTTTCTCAAACACTAAGTCATCCAGGATGCCCACTTCACATTCTACTTTTGAGACTCCCCTAGGAAAAGTGACCATTGAATCTTTTGTGTTCGGTCTCTCTATGAAATCAATGCCTGCTTTTGCCGAGCGCTGTCGTGTGAAGCAGTAAACAGTTGACACTCTGCTTAAATCCCCTGTGCGTTGAATAGGTATCTTCACAACAGTCTGGTTCTCTCTTACTTTAATTTCAGGTAGAGTAAACTGCATGGATGGTGCATCTTCGTCATCTTGTATTGTCACAACTGCCTCTGCAGCAGAGGCGTCTATAGATGCATTTTGTGCTGTGCTGATAAACACCACAAATTTCTCAGGTCCTTCAAGCCTTGGATTTACTTTGTCATCAATAATTTTGATATTGCAAACAGCAGTCTGAACTCCACTAGGAAAGATAACCTGTTCTGAGTGAGGAATGTAATCCAGAGAGGGCTGGGCCTCCTCTGGTTGGAAGGCTTTGGTTGCACACCAAATACTGGAGGAGTAGTTGAGGTCAATGCCTGTCCTATCCAGAGTTACCGACACTGCAGTTTCACTCTCGGAGACATTGTACTGTGTCTGTGTCAGTTTTATTTTACAATCATCATTGGCTCCCTTAACTCTCACTATTGCTTCATGAATCTCCCCAAGGATCACTCCATCTGAGGGATCTTTTAGATATATCATAAAGTCTTCATTATCTTCAAATTCAGGGTCATCAATGATCTTTACATTGCAAGTTGACATTTTAACCCCAGGAGGAAATACAACTCTGGAAGATTCATCAGGGTTCCGGTGAATGAAATCGGTTCCACTTGTCAGCTGATTAGGCTCTGATCCCATAGCTGATCCATCCTTAGTAAGGCACATTACAGATGCAGGAACATTCAGGTCACCTGTGCGTCTTAATCTTGCAAAAATAAATCCCTCTGTTTCATCAACTGCAAAAGTATTGGTTTCAAACTCTACCTTTGGCTTGTCCTCCTCATCATAGATGGTCACCACAGATTTTTTAGGCTTCCCAATCAAGGCATAATTTGGATCTGTAAGTTTGACAGTGAAGACTTCTGGCCCTTCAAATTCCTCATCATCATGTATTGGTATTGTACAGTACTTCTCTGTCTCACCTTCTCCGAACTCTATGGGTTCAGTAATTTCTGTGAAGTCTTCTCCTCTTGCCCTACCCTTTCCACCACTGGCAGACCCTGTGTGTGTTGCGCAGGTGACCACTGATGGCTGTTTTAGATTTCCTGTTCTCTTTACTAGTACTTTTGCCTCTCCATCAGACTCTGTTACATTGTACTCCCTCTGAGCAACAACAAACCAGGACCACTGAATGTGAAAAGCATTTCCAGTCACTGTATTTGGCTTGCTGTCGGTTACCTCGAAGGTAAAGTGATCACTTGTTACTGACTGGGCATACGTAGTGAGTTCATAGTAGAGATGACCAGAGATGATGTCAGCTAATAGAAAGAAATGATTTAATGTTATCATTATGAATATGTAATACAAATACATACCAAACAATACTGTTTCCCATTTGTAATTCAAAATCTTTTTTCATAAAAGCCCTAAAGAACATCTAGGCTTATTACCTTGTGTGAATGACATGACAGGTCGTTCATGAGTGGTGAGCCTGAGAACCCCGTGACTGGGTGGAGCTACAACTGTGAACTTGAGACTCTCGGGAGCTGTATCCTCATCTTCTACATGTAGCTCATGTGATGTTATGATGTTCTGAGCCTAGAGTTACAAGTTTATATTTAAATTTTTTCCTGATGTGAGGAAATTGTTTAAAACTCATATTGATCTCATAAGATTTTAGAATTTTGTTCTTAACAGAAAAAAAAAAAATAATAATAATGAGAGCAAACTTTCCACTCAGGGTAATAAATTACTGAACTGAAGTCTTCATCTGTATTAATCAAAAGTATTGTAATCAATTTCATTTCACTAATTGTTTGATCTTAATTAGTTCAATATCACATGCAGAACATTCCCAAGAGATACCACAAACCTTGCCATCCTCATGTTGGAGAAAATGCAGTCCTGTGTTTGCTGTGATAATGGGAGTTCCATCATCCACAGAGGAGATCTCAATATGCACTGTGGAAGGTTCTCGTGTGGCCTCTTCTCCTCTCCCCTTCATGTACATGCTGTTAGTCGAGTCGGAAACTTTGATTTTGAAGGAATCTCGAGAGGCATCAGAGCCATCATGGAGGTAGGACACATCTCCACTGTATAAGTTTCTCATGCTGAATGTCTGTAAAAATATGGATGCTACTATAGAACATTAGTCTGACTAACATGACTACATACAATTCTGAGGACTGTTGATGTTTCTCCAATTTACTTACTGTGTTTCAATCTGTTGAAGTTGAACATACACATGGTAAAATATAAATACTATTTATAAGTCCAGGCATACATCAATATATAATATACAAGCATAAGTATGATACAAGTTACTGCTATTATACCTTAGTATCTATATATTTGTCTCCTTTCTTGATCTGTAAACTCCCATGGCGAGGTTGTCTTGTAATTTCAAATATAATGAGGTCATCCTTGGTGTCAGCATCCAACGCTTCGATCTCAAATTGTGATATAGTTTTTCTTGTTCCTTCTTGTACCTTGATGTGATTCAGCACGAGAAGAGGAAGCTCATCATCTACAGGAATGATGTTGATGTGGAAGGACTGGCTGGCATTGTTATAACTGAAAACAAGTATACCATTTGTGTTATCTGTTGTAACTGTTTTTTTTTCCTGTTTTGCAGATAAATAAGGTATCCACATTCAAAAATTTCTCCATCATAATCAAGCATATCACTTTTTTTGTTCAAAGTCCATCTGACTCACCCATCTGAAACCACGAAAGTAAACTGATCTGTTGGGCTCTCGTCTGCAGACTGGTGCTGGTAGCGCAGGATTCCTAACTCTAGTGCTCCTTGTGTCCAGGTGGTCACTGCTTTTCCAGGGGCTGTTGCGAGCTCTAGCTGCCCATGGTTAGGACCACTTGTCAACTGTTTTGGAAGTTCAAATTTGAGTATGGAACATTATACATCTGGCCCTGTTCTTTGAGTCATTATTGTATTATGGAATTTAGTTCTTTCAGGATGATGGAAAAAGGACATTCTCTTTATCTTTATGACTAGGCAGTGCAATTTTAAATATTTCTTTTTCAATCTGTTTTGAGAAACAAGTATTTCACATTTTGTTAAATCTTACACAAATTTATCAAATCTATAGGCAACATTAACACTCAACATTCTTACCATAAATACCAATTCCATTGGGTCCATCTCAGCATCCATGGCAGACAGGAGATCAGCAGTTATGGGAGCTGAGGCATCCTCCATAAGCGAGAGACCAACATTGAGCGTGATGCGAGGCGGAACTTTGTCCTCCAGCACGGTGATTGAGAGAGCCTGGTCCATCATTACGTTGCCTTCTGTGTCTTGGAGGTTGAAGTGCAGTGTGTCTGTCCCAGCCTGAGTGTCTTTTTGGTGGGAAAACCTGCAAAATGTTTGTATATTATTAATTATTCACATTAGAATTCAATTTGCTTTTGAAACCAAATAAAAAGATGGTTCACATACAGACAGATAAATCAATAGAAAGAGAGATTTGCAAATATATTTCTCTTCTTTTCTTTCAAAAAATAAAGAGAATGCACAATTGTATAACCTCTCACAGCCTACATTGGCCTTGAGAAATCAGTGAAACAGTTAATCATAAAATAGCCAAATGCTATTGAAATGATAATATAAAAGTAATGGTATTGTCCTTATGTAGAAAAGGTAAGAATGAGAATGATTATCTTCACAATACAAAAAGATGTATTTTACCAGTTTCAAATATATCTTCATCAGAAATACATACATTTCTGATGAAATATTCAAAACCAGTTATATACATCTCTTGTACTGTAAGGATATTCATTCTCACTTGTCCCTTTTCTACATTTGTCAACATGAACCGGTATCATCCTTACCTCACATTGCCATTGAGGATATCTTCCTGCATGAAAACTGAGCCCACAGTGAGAGGCCTCCAAGCGTTCGCCTCCTGCTCGAACAGTTCAACATTCCCAGATGTGGGAAGTCTCGTCACAACGTATTTTATCTTGGCCACTTCCGAGTCCTCATCCTCTGCCATAAGCAAAGATGGAGAGATCAGAGACACCTCACCAGCCTTCAGTGTGAGGCCATGGTTCAGTCTTAGTCTTGGAGCTTCGTCAGTCTTCCGCAGAATGATGAATTCAATGATGCCTCCTGTTTCGTGGTTACCATCACTTACCTGGAAGAATATTTAGTACATCTATGATTCTTCAAAAGAAAAGAGTATTAGGCAAATCATGTCCACAGATTTATATAAAATGAGATACTTATATATATATATATATAAAGTATATATATAAAGCACTATGAATATTAATATAAGTATATATATATATATATATATATATATATATATATATATATATATATATATATATATATATATATATATACTATATAGATAGATAGATAGATACACATACAAACATGCAGTGTTTATAAAATTCACCGGTTTTGACTTACCATAATTTCCATGACATCTTCTGGGTCTCGAGAACCATCGTGACTGTATAAGACAAGTTCATCCAGAAGGTTTCTGAAGGTAAATTTCTGGCCTCGACTTAGCAGTTCACTCTTCTTAATGGATACATATGGTGATGTCTTCTTATGTACAGACCCTGAGGAAAAAGTTAAGTGTTTCATTAAATTTCCATTTCATAACCTTGAATCTCTATATCTTTGAAAGAACCAATGACTCCTTGTTTGAAAAAGACTGAAAATCATTTCTTATCTATAACATACCATGGGAAGGTGACTGCTGGATAGTGATTATCAGGTCTTCAGGTTCCGTGTCTGTGTCTGATATAAAGAGGGACTGGTTCCTGATGACAATGGTCTGGCCTTGTTCCAGTATGACTTGCTCTCCCAAAATAACCGGTGACTCGTCATTTACAGGCTGCAATAGTGTGAAACCAAATTACGTTGCTGAAGAAATGAGTAGAATGCAGCTCGAGAAAAGTTTGATGACTATTATCATTATTGTTATTATTTTCGCTTCTGGTATAGTAATATATTATTAATGCTGGTTTATTCATAGTTCTCAATGAAGGTTATATCAATTTCCACAATATTTATATACTTTCAATTCATAAAAATTTCCCTCCCTTTTAAATACATATTCCACATATGTCTACTTTTTCATTTCATGACCTACCTGTATTGTGATATTGATTCTCATGGTAGGAGACGAGTTAATGCCATCATTCACGTGGAAAAGTAGTGAATCTTGTGTGGGCTCCTGATGACGGTGCTGTGACTGCACGTAAGCCACTCGTCCAGCAACGACATCACCCACAGTAAATTCTAGCATGGGAGAGGTGTTCCCTGGACTGCTTCTAGGCTCTAGGGAAGGGACTGTGCTTTCTGTTAGTTTCTCAGAATTTACTTTGGATAGGAAAAAATGTGTTTTGTATAAAGTACTGTTTATAAACTTAATTCACTTTCTACTGTGTACCTGTGCAAACAAACAAACAAAAAAACACCTCTCTCTCTCTCCCTCACCTGCAAGTGTATTAGTAATGTATCCAAATATTGGAGGTGCATCAATAATGATCCTAAGTTCCGTTGGAGGTGTGTCAGCATCAGTAGCCATGACAGTGGACGGAGGAAGCACAACACTCCCCCCCTCCAACACCTCCACTGCTGGTCCAACAGTTACTCTAGGCTCCTGGTTGTCAACTGGCTGGATCCTCACTTTTAACACCTGATGAATTGATGCTTGCGTTAATACAAATATCGAGCTTAATGATCAGCTGTATATAAATGTAACTGTAATAAAAAAAAAAAAAAAAAAAAAAAAAACTGACATGAAAGCAATTCTAGCTAAAGATATAGAAATAAAAGTCAATCTATCTAAATCTGTACAGCATTATGAAAGTAAACCTGTACACACATAATTTAATCTAATAACACAATTCACACTCTGCGCTGTTATGCTAGGCATCTATTCGAAATACTTTTTTAAGACACTGTTAATACATGTACCCTGTCTATAATATATCAACAAAATCTAAAAAATCATAGTCACCTGGTTACTCAATACGTTATTATTAGGGTCAGTTACGTTAAACACCAAGCTATCCATGACTTCCGATATCCCGATTTCCACATTTGAAGTATAGTTGATGAGACCGTATAATATATCAGCTTGCGTGAACTTGTGTGTTTGGTTGAGCATTTGAGAGAATCCAGTTGGCTGAAGGATGGTGAGAGCTCCGTACAGAGGCTGGCTCGTAAGGGTATATACAAGGTCCTCATCGGGAGAGTGGACATCAGTGAAGTAAAGTTGCAGCCTACTAAGAACTCTGGACTCCCCTGTAAGAAGTGCATGATGTGGGTTGATTCCATGAATGATATACAGACGATGTGGTAATTATACATCTATTGGTTATTGTATTGTCACTTTTAAAAATTTTCTTCAAGGGAAATATATGTGGGGAGTATGTTCACATTAAATTTTTAATCCTCGTACAAAAAACTCCCTTCGACACAAACCTTCCCTCAGAGTCATAGAGAAGGAGGCGTTTTCACTCTTCGTTGGCTGTCTGTCGTCTTCATGTCTGATTGTGATGGAGATCCTAGAGCTGGCTTCAGAGGAATGACCAAGGGCAAGTATCACTATGAAGTCGTAGCTTGACTCTGATCCATCGTGTGTGTACATTATGCGGGAATTCAGTACTTCATCTTTGGTGAAACTGTCCTCTGGGCAGGAAATAAGAATACTCTTTAACATGTTTTTTTTAAGGGAAGGTAAAACACTGAATATATATGTCTAAATAATATAACTAACATTACTTGTCTTCCACATTCAAATAAACAAACTGACAAAACCATTGTACATAACATGGAATTCATGTCTTACGTTCTGTAAACATAAAGGACTCTCCATTAATCTCCTGAGTGATGGTACCATGCTGAGGAGCCTCTAGTAATATAAACACAATCTCCTCAATCTGATCCAAGTTTTTCAGCTCGAAGAACTGTGGTTCAAGCAATACTGAATCCCGCTGCAAAGGTAAATTCAGTTTAAGTTGTGCTCATTTTTATATATTCCGGATAACATTATAAAATATATTACTACACTTTAAACATGTTATTTTCATCTACTGTTAAAACATGTCACAGTACATAACATTCTCCTATATTACATTATGTTACAAATGAAATTCTACATTCATTATGCAACAAATGGGAATAAGATTTTTAAGGATAACACAACTTCTCAAGTACTAACACTCTGAATGATAAGTTCAGGGTTCTCATGAGTAAAGGCCAGCTGAGAGCCCTGGAAAGGGACCACGTGGATTGTAAACTTCTGTTCCGGCAAACCACTTGGCTCTCCTGTCATCTGGTCACTCACTGAAAATAGGTTCTTGTGTTCAAAACTTCAAGGAATGTGTATCAAGACCTTTAAAGTCTCTTGTAATGCATCATGGAGGTATACACCTTCCTGTTTATGAACATAATGATAAACTATTAATCAAATAAGTGTATTAAAACATTTCCATACCGACAAATTTGAAGCTGAAGAATTTATCTTCATCACCAATGTCACCAAGAGGAGGCATATAGATTATTTTCATATCATTGATGTCAGCTTGTGTAAACTGCCTCAACTCAAGACCTGGCGAGTCGATATTGAAAAGTGAGCCATCGTATGGACCCAAGGGTTGTGTGATGGTATATGTAATGTGTTCTGGAGATTTTCCACCTGAGAAGGACAGGTACTGAGGTGTGATGCTGACAGCTTGCCCTTCCTGGACCTGCATTAAAGAAGTTTAATAAGTAAATCTGATACAGGAGATGAGATAAGGTTGAAATATGTATCTAACTTCTAAATCTTCTTTTTATTTTTTAATTCAAAACTCCATCTAAACACCTTTCCTACCGTAATATCAAGTTGAACACCAGGTGTTGGGGACATTTCAGAGGGTTCATTAGATGGTTCAACCTGGATGACAAAGGCTTGATCAGAGAGGATGTTGGGCGGGTGAGAACTGTCAGCTACAGAGAACAGTAACTGGTCTGAGATGAGACTGTCTTGCCCCTGCTTGTCTGTGTGAATGTACCACACTCGACCCTCATTCACATCGCGTTGGGTGAAGCTGTCATTGGAGGGGATTTTGATGAAACATGTCCATTATAGCAGGTGATACTGATTCAAGTAATATGTAGAAGGTGACTTTGGAAAGTATGTACAAATTAAATTGTATCAAGTGCATGAGAAAAATTTCTGTCTGAAAAAACATCAATATATCTAAATATCTCAGCTTTACTCAATACCTGGTTGTTGGGCGAATAAGGTGCGACTCGTCCATCTGTGTCCAGCCATCATTGTAGAAGCCATCTGGGGCAGGTGGCAATGGGATCATCAAAATCAACTTGCCTGAAAATAATAGAGAGAGCAGTGCTACTGTGCTTTTGATTCTGCTTTTTCACTTCTATTGCATATGAATAAGTAAAACACTATTTTAAAGAAATCCTGGGACAAAGTTAGTGTTCATCTACTCACCATGACCTGGGTTTTGGAGCATGGGGAGAAGGGCATACACCAAGTTGCCATTGTCAGAGTCGATATCTGCAGCTTGGAGTAACTGAGGGGAGATCTGGACACGGTGCCCTGCCTGAACCTTAGCACCACGATTCTTCACCAACACAGGGATGCTTTTCTCATGATCCACAATGTACACTTGAAAGAGGAAGTTTACCACTGTGTGTTCATCTGATGCCTGCAGAAGCACCATGTCTGATGTAACATTAGAGCCATCATGAGTGTACATAACCACACCTTCGGCTAGTTCTTGCAAGTTGAACAAAACCAACTCTTCTCCTCTGACAGAGAGATGGCCATTCTTTGGCCCATCCACAACTGTTACTGTAACACTCTCACTATTGTCCTGGTCGCGGATGTCCAGTATTTTGCTGGTGATGGCTTGGCTGCCACCACGGACTGCAATCAGAGGTTCATTGGTCACTATTTCTGGTTGATTTTTCGAGATCACATTTACAGATATCATTTCAACGCTTGAACGAAAATGTCCGTCAGTCACACGCAGGCTCATTTCCCCATACAGAGGACGATTTGATTCATGCTTATACAAAATTCTGTTTTCATGCATGTCTTCAACCGCAAATTGATGCCCCTTCTTCATAACCATCTTCTTTCCTCCCCCGACCTTGAAAATGACTCCATTAGAGGGTGGTTCCACTATAATGATCTTCAGACGGTTGTTGGGGGTGTCAGCATCTTGGACATATATGATAGACCCATTGATTATCTGAGGTCTGTTGTGCTCAGCAACCAAGGGGGCTAAGATCCTCAAAGTGGGTGCTTTCATATTAAAGTAACAGATGCCATCATCTTTGCTTGGAAAGTAATCCTTGCTGCACTTGTCCACACACTGACCATCTTGCAGCAGGTACGGTGGGAGGCATTCGTGGCACTCGTACAAGGAACAACTCATGCAGTGTTCCCCACATTCTGTGTAGAATCAAAACAGTTTAGATAAGTTCAGGTTCTGTTGTTCTTGATGTATAATGACATGATCAGAAGTAGGTATAATAAAACTGGAATAAAAACAAATACTTATTTTTGAAATCATGAATGATACTGTGTTGATAAACAATTAGTGATCTTACTGTTGCAGTTATTATTGAACACATTGGCAAAGGTTCCAGATTTGCATGATGTTGAACACTGCCCATCTTGCAGCAGGTATGGGGAATGACAGGCCTGGCATTCAGAACTGCTGTTGCAAGCTGTGCAGCCAGCTGGGCATGGCATGCATGTCTTTCCCATGGCATAGTGACCTTCAAAGAATAACATCATATTTAAGAGAAATATAACAGATCTTTTACATCATCCAAAAAAATTATAATCTACTTTAGCATTAATATTTTTGAGTTTCTCTTCTATGGAATTAACTTAAATCAAAATTTACAGAAATCACACAGTCCTACCTGGAGAACACTGTGGTAGACACTTGTTTCCCTCAAGGAACATATTCACAGCACAACTCAAACAGTCAGACTCTGTGGGGCCAAGACATTCCTCACAAGTCCAGTGGCATTCCTGGCATTCACCGCCAGCTGAATCGTCCGCATAAAACATGTGTGGACACTTGGTGACACACTTGCCATAGAGCAAATGAAGGTGAGGAGGACAGGTGATGCAAATGGTTCCATCTCTGCTACAGGTGTCACAATCACCCTGACAAGGTATGCAACCCCCATCACCAGAGGCGTAGAATCCTCTTGGGCACTGGGTTTCTTCACAAGTACCCTATTGCATATATGATGATGGACAACAGACAATTATGATCAGGAAGAAGTAAAAGGCTTTTCTTTTGTACAGCCTCATTCTTTGAATCTCATGTTTAAGTTATGTGACTTCTACAATGACTCTCAAGTATTCTCCTACTTCAATGTATTACAATATCAGCTACACATTCTATCAGGGACTGCTTCCCTTGAGTTAGCAAACATATATAGGTAAGAAACACTAACTGATTATGGAAATCATAACTTTCATAAAGGTTATACAGTTGTCTTATAAATATATTAATTGTATATTCTACGCTTTTAAAAGTCAACAAGCAGATATCCTTCACATCCTTTGGGACATCAAAAATACTTCTGACATGCACCAGTTTAAGCAGACGAAATGCATAAACTACATACCTCAGAAGTTAACTCTGCATGATCATGGCAACTTATACAATCATTCAAGGCTTCACCCTTGCAAGTGGCACAACTTGGATGGCACTTGATGCACCTGTCCAGTACTTGATGGTGGAAATGGCCCCTGTGACAGACGTTCACACATTCTTGTCCTTGAGGGATTTTGCGTTTCCCTTTACACTGCAGGCAGAGGGAGAGGGTGCTGTTGCCAGGATCGGGTGCACACGCCTCACATGACTTGTGACAGGCTAAGGAGAAAATGTATTGTGAATATATATATATTTTATGGATATCAGCTGTAATTCATGAACATATTATGTCATGTCTGATCATAAAAAAATAAAAATAAAATTTGAAGTTCAATCATAAGCAGTAATATCATTTTTCAGCACAAGCTCTATGAATCTTTTCAACTTACAGATCATCAAAAAGAGCATTTGCTTTTAGAATATATATATATTTTTTAATGTCTTATAGATATAATGGCTAGAGTCTAAACTGTGAGATAAATATTCCTATATCCTCATTACACAACGACACTTACTCTGACAAGTATTGTCTTCAGCTAAAAAGGTCCTTCGGTAGCATTTCGTGAGACACTCAGCACTCTCTCCTCTTTCATGTAGTGTGGCTTTCTTATGACAACTTAGACAGTGTTTCTGGCTTGGTCCAGAGCAAGTCTCACATCTTGGATCACAGGCTGAATGGGAAAAGTTTTTTGTTTTCATAAAAGAGAGAAAAATCCTTCTGATTTCATCTATTCTAGATACAAACTACAAGAACATTTTCCATTTTTAAAAGTAACTTTACTATTTTTCATAAAAATAATTTGAGACAGAACTCACGCAAACAAACGTTTCCACTTTCTTGCTGGAAAAAGCCACCAGAGCATTCCTTGACACAGCGCTGTTCCTGGAAGAGCCAGCCGTCTTCGCACTCAAGGCATGACTCTGGCTCTGACACATGCCAGTTCTTGCAGCCCTTCGACCCACCTTAGGAAAAAGGATACATATATCAACTGTGAACATTTTTTTTCAAGTTGTATCTGAATTACATTAATATATATCAGCTTACAGCTCATTAATATTTTTGTCATAATAGTATTTAGGTACTCAATGCTTTGCAGTATTTCACATACACAGTTGTGTGATATGATGCATCAGAATCAGGAAAGGCAAATGGATTCTTCCTTCTATATAACTATCAGGGATAAAATAACTATCATCAACTAAATGAAGAAAGTCTTAATGAAATACAGTGCAGACATCTTAACTTACTGATGCAAATGTGATCCATCAGCTTTTGATTTTCAGGACATGTATCCTGACATTCACCAGCTGTTCCATTGACTAGTACAACCACCTGTTTATCATTGCTACACTCAACACATCTGTTCAAAACAAAAAGTCAGATACCCACAATTAATTTAGGATATTTTTGCTAAGGTTAAAGGAATGATATTCATAATTTCATAAGAAAACTGTATCACTAACTTCAACTATAAGACATTATACATTTTCTTTCCTTTATGTTATTAAGTAAACCTGCTAAAATAATCACTTACAGACAAGATAAAACATAAAGGAGACTCATTACAAGAGAAAACATTTTTGAATGGCAAGTTTGATGTCACCAACAGACCAGGAGGAAATATTAACTTACCAACAACAAAGTGCATTACCAAACAGACAAGACATACCTGTGTTCTCCAGGACCCAGGCACTGTGAGCATGCAGAGTCACAGGGAAGGCACTCCTCAGCACCCATGTAGTGCCCACTAGGACACATTTCCACACAAGCTGAACCACTCTTCAGCAAGTAGTGTGGGCAGGAAGTGCAGGATAATATTCCTGGTCCATCACAGGTCCCGCATGAACTATGACAGCCTATGTTGTGAAATATCTATTTAGTGATTCTGCTCAGATTTCCTTTAATAAGGTATCCTATATTCATCATGTTTCTTTCATATTGTAGTTACTATGCTACATGACATCTCAGATCATATACTGTACTTCCATATTAGTATATCAGTAAATGTGTTCCAAACTATACAGTATCAGTTTGCTACCCTATATGTGTGTGTATATATATATATATATATATATATATATATATATATATATATATATATATATATATATATATATATATATATATATATATATATATATCCTAAATATCTGATTATTTCAATCTAAAACATTTTCCTGCTAATCCACTTTCTATAAACATTTCTCAAAAATACAAACTATAAACTATCAGTCTCAAGAGCAATATAGTTTCACTTCACTTCCAAAAGAACTGCAAGCATGCTTCTCTCCTTACTGAGGCAAGTGTTGTGAGGGCCTTGGTAGTGTCCAGGCAGGCACTGGTCAAGGCAGCGTCCATCCTGCAACCAGAATCCATCCTGGCAGAGCAGGCATTCGCCCACTCCACACTTCTCACAGTGTTCCTCACACACCTCGCACACCCGTTCTCTGAAAATGCACCAGGTCAGTGACTGAGGAAAGATGATCTGCAGTTTGATTATTCCTGTTAACTAATAACAGGTGCATAAATATTTAGCTTGTGAGGATATACACAGAAGCATACATTAACCAACACTTAATGGAGAAGACCTGACCTGCTGATGTATACCTAATATAATATTTGTATCATACCTACTCCACTAGTGCATTTACCAACACCAAAATCTTGCATATAGTGTAGAGACAATGCCCTTACCTGGGATAATATCCTCTTGGGCATGAGGTGACACAAGTGCCAGCATGGAGATAGGCTCCACTTTGGCACACCTGACAGTGGTTAGCCTCAGGCCCTGAACATTCTGCACAGGAACTATGGCAAGGGAAGCAAGACTCAGCCTCTGGGTAGAAGCCTCTTCCACAGTCTGAGACACACTCGCCCTCACGCAGCATGCTCTCGAGGTGACACCTGAAAATTATAATAAACAATTGAATCATACAGGATAAATCATACGATTATCATCATGCAATATTACACAGATTACACAAGAACCTTATTTTGAAAAACAATGAGAAAATATTCACTCACTTGCTGCAGTGGAATCTGGTAGCCTGATTACAAGCAGCACAGGAGGGATGACATGCCAGGCACACACCACCCTGCTGGAACCATCCCTCCAGACAAGAAGAGATGCAAGTCCCATCCTGGAGGTAATGCCCCTCTTCACACATGGTACAAGTGGGGTTAGGAGAACCAGGCACACAGGTCATGCAGTTGGGAGGACATGTCAGAGGTTGGCACTCAGGGCAACAATCATCTGATGTGCTTGACACAGGAGCCAGACCTGGAGGGCATGGGGCACAGGCAGGAGTGTGGCAGGTAACCTTGCCAGAATTGCAGGAACAAACACGACAGCTTCCTGAACTCCACACCTCACCATCCTGTGTGTGTGATCAAAGTGTCAGTCAACTAGTTATTGCAATCTTTGGAATCTTTTACTATTAGCATTACCCAAGTAAAGTAAACAATAATATCCATGCAATATTAAATATATACATACTGTACAAACAGATACTTGCCTGTCTGAGTCTGGTATCATGGAAGCAGAGGTTGAGATTGATGGCACACTCAGGGCAACAGGCACCAGGTCTCGTCACCAATTCTTCCCCAGGTCCACACTGGCTGTACTCACACCTCACCTGGGGATTATTGCAACTTAAGGATTCGAACTGTTTTCTAATCTATTTGTGAGCATATAACTGAAAAAGTAATTGCATTGTCTTTCGTGTGTGTGCACAACAATGTCATGTCCATTTTGTACTTAATTATATTTCATTATCATATTGTTTACAGCAATAACTGTAGTGGGCAAGTAATATAATAAAAAAAAATATCATTCCAATATCAATCATTCATTCACAACAATTCTACTATGACCCCAACACCAACTGCACTATGTAAGTCTTACCTCATTACAGACAACCTGGGCATCTCTACAAGCACACACTTCACATTCACTGATGTTCCAGACGGATCCTGGGGCTTGTCGCACACCACTTTCCAATAGACACCAACCTTGAAATATCAAATAAACCACATAATAGTTATAAGTACATTATATCTTTTTTAATGGAATTTGTTGATTGGTAATTAAATACATGCCAATCTACTGGTTATCATAACAGAAAAAAAAAATTCACATTCAATTACTCCAACTGACCTTGCTTTTTGACACATGTTGGGCAACAGCTGCCTTCCTCTTTGTACGGCTTCTCATCTACTTGGCACTGCAGGTCAGGGCACTGCATGTCATGGCACTGAACCCGCCCAGCCACACAAACACACTCTCGGCAGTCTCCTTCTCGCCACTGCTCTCCAGACTAGAAAATATACACACAATAAAGTAGGATGAGATTGGTATGAGGGTATGTTGAGGTTGAACTGATGGTGTGGATAATAAGGATAATAATAATGGGAATAATCACATCATTACGACTACCATTACTATCATTGCTAATTACTCTTCTTCAAAAGTCATGTTGTGAGTGAAGTACTTCCACCAATACCCACTCCATTTTCAGCATTAAAATAAACCTTCATCTTTCAATGATTGACAGAACATTTGAGAAAAAAAAAGGCAGAATCAAGTTCCATTTTCTTAAAGACTTACCCCATATACCATTCCCT